GTCTGCAAAAAAAACGGTGTACCTTGCAAGTCGTACTTAGTGCGATAAAGGCTTTTTCTTGTCTTTATGGGTAAATAAGTACGATCAGTAAAGTTCGGCATTCACCTTGCGCAAGGTCGCAAAAATTATCTTTCTTCTGGCTCGCAGTAATCGCATTTAGATCGACTGGTTCAGCCGAATACACAAGGCCTACTTGCGTCGTATCCGCAACTTGTAAAGTATGACCAAATGAGATTGGGAGAAAAGCTGCGTAGACCAAAAAATTTAATCTGGTTGCTTGTCGGCGATTCTACAAAAGTACTATCAAATGACGTATTTAGCGTTTTTTTCTGATTAGACCTTACAGACTCGCGTTTGAGGTGGGGTCAAGTCGTCTTTCGGGGCAATGGTCACCTGTGCTGCTCCAGTATTAGTGTGTACTGATTCAGTATTAGTGCACCAACACTGACAAAAGTGTAAGTAGTTCTGTGCGTCACGTCACATACACTGTACGTGGAGAGGATGGCTAGATAATGGACGACGCTTTCAGTAGGAGTAAGAAGTAAAACTATTTTTGATTTACTGAATTCCTAACTACATGTACCGATGTTTTAGTCCTATCCTATTTATATATGTCTACAGAAGTGTATGCTAAATTCTTGCTTAATACTCATTGCGCGAGTCCATCGTTGATTGGACCGCTAGAGCTGGATGATACGATGGCCCATATCAGCCAATCGGTGAGTGTTTCTAAATATCACCCTCTATGGTAATACTAGCGAGCACTATCAACCTTAATATCGTATTTTAATTAACAGGTACCAAAGGTTAATTACATTTAACAGGCTCAAATTTTTTTTAGATAGCGCATTGTTCGTATCAACACATGTGGACGGTGTTTAATGCATGCTCTAAAAGAACGTCACCGTTGCATATTACTGAAGACGAATACACAGACAGTAAATAGCGCTTATGGTGTAACGGGTAGCCCGTTACATGATATTGACACCAAACGTTGTCAATAGGGAGATTATCTAGCGTGACAATTCCCTGCCAATATTACCCGAGATGGGTAATATTGAAGGAATGTTATCCCCTTTGTAGGATAGTATACATGCGCTGCTCAAAGATTGGTTGACAAAGACATTCCAATCAAGGTTACCACCAATCGCTGCCAGACGCGCGTAATGAGTGGTGAGCAGGTTGTCATCATACGACAATGTAGTTTAATATATTTAGATGAAGACTGTAGATATATTGATAGCTTCAGTATACTGAATACAGTTCTCTTTTTACCTTTACTCAAACTAGCTGTTTGAGTAGACTAGCTTCCTCCGTACGTACTAGTGTATGTGGAGTGTCGTGGCACCCCAAACAAAGGGTTCCCCGTTACACCTGGTAGCACTTGTTGGTCCGTCCAGCGACTACTCAGATGAGAGTAGCCTTCACGTGTGACGTGAAAGCCGGGACAGTGAATATTTTAATGTACGACGGATTGAGTGTAGGCGCTTATACACTTTATCTGGTTACACCCCCGAAGTCAGCATCGGACATAGTCAAGGTGCCAACGCTAGAATCTATTAGATTCTTGCGAGATCAGCGTAGTGACAAGATCAAGCAGATCTGCGTACTCGTCAAAGAGGACGAGTACGTCGCCGATATTCGGTCGGCACAAGTATTTGCTAAGAACGAACGGGTTCTCAGTAGCTTATCGATGGATGAGAGTTTTCTCAATGAGAAGAATCGGATTGAGCGATACACGTCTCAATCTTGGGAGTCTTTCAAGAAAAATCCTTCATACAATAAATTGGTCGAGATCAGGGATATTTTCTCTTAATCCGTGGCATGCGAGATGCCCAAGAAAAGGCACTCGGCATGAGATCGAAGTGAAACCCGGTTCGAAGTACTGTGTCACGAAGCAGAGGCCACTGCCTCGTGAACAGGTCACAGAGATCGACAAATTATTTGCCGATCGCTTAGCGGCTGGTCATGTGAGGGATTCAATACCCCCACACAGCTCTCCGACCTTCGGTGTGCGAAAGGCCACAGGAGGGTGGAGGACAGTGCACGCGCTTAACAAATTGACTGCTGTAACATTACCGGCTCAAACTCCGATTACCAGGAAAGGACGTCATCATTGATGGTATGTCGAAAAGTACCATCTTTTCTTCCATGGATCTGATGGAAAATTTCTATCAGATCTCCCGATCCTCATGCGTGAATGGGACATCCCGCACACATCAGTGGGCACCCCCAAAGGTATGCTCTGGGAGTGGCTAGTAATGCCACAGGGGCTAAGTAACGCCCCCGAAACGTTCAACAGATGTGTTACGATCTGTTGTGATCGGTGAGAGACTTTAGACCGAGTTACTTCGACAATGTCTTCGTTCATAGCCGGGCTATGAATGGAAAGACGGACGTGGAGGTTCATAGAATCCACGTCCGGAAGGTTCTTACACAAATGCGAGAGCAAAAGTTGTTCGCGAACCTCAAGAAGTGTATATTCGCAGCGAACGAAATACCATTCTCTGCTACATCGTGGGTAAAAACGGCGTACGCCCTGATCCGGAAAAGATCAAGGCGATCGACGACTGGCCTGTGCCAGTCGACGTCAAGGGACTTCGAAATTTCCTTGGCTTCTCGGCACAGTTACACAAGTACTCGCGCAACTATGCCGAGATGGCCGTACATCTCTCTCTTCTGATAAAGAAAAACGAGAGGTGGTCATGGAGCGCTAAGTGTCAGAACTCCTTCGAAGGTGCGAAGAAAATTTAGTGCTACCGCCTGTGTTGGCGATTGCAGACCAGGATAGACCATTTCATGTGGTCTCTGACGCCAGAAATTTTGCAATCGGCTGCGCGTTAATGCAGTACGACTAAGACGGCGTTGAGCGCGTCGTCTGTTATCAATCGCGTCAGCTGCAAGCAGCTGAGCGTAATTACCCGGTGCATGACAAGGAACTCCTCGCCAGGAAATATGCACTGGCTAAGTTTCGGGTATATCTCTAATGAGATAGGCTCTTTATCGTTTACACCGACCATGCGTCGTAACGACGGCCGTAAACAGTCCACACCACTTGCAACGAATGGCGAATGGCTGTCCTCTTCGTGGAGTACAGCTTCTGCGTCAAGTACAACCCAGGACGACTTAATGTCGTCGCTGACGCTCTTCCGCGTCGGCCCGATTTCGAGCCGACTGCTCAACCCAACAATTGGGGTGATCCCTCTGTCGCGACACTAACAGTAAGTGTTCCATCGTCGAATCTGCTCGATGACGTGCGAAAAGCATACACAGTAGATGATTCTCTTCTGCGGTTGATGCATTACGTATCTAATTCGTGTAATCAAGCTTTTATAAGCTTGTCGTATCAATGTCGCTCTTCAACCGAACGGTATTCGGTTCGTGATGGACTGCTGTGCTATACAGCATTTTACGGCGACACACCTCGTGTCGTCTTTCTGGCTCATAATGATTTGCGATTGCGCACCATGTATGAGTGTCACGATGCTCCAACAAGTGGGCATCGCGGTAGAGAAAAGACTTACCTCATGGTGAGTCGTGACTTCTACTGGCACCGTCAGTATGAGTTTGTGCGGAAATGCATTCGCGCTTGCGAATTCTGTCAACTGGTGAAGCCTAGTCCTTCATCCCGCGCACCCTTACAGCCTCTTCCGATTCCGGCAGAGTGTTGGCAGTCCGTATCGATGGACTTCGTCTTCGGGTTTCCCAAAGACGATCACAAGAATACTGGTATTCATGTGTTTGTTGATCGGTTCAGCAAGATGGTACATCTTGTTGCTATACCGGAGTCAATCACCGCCCAGGGCTGTGCTCGTGTCTTCATCGATACATCTTCCGACTTCGCGGGTTACCCCGTGAACTAGTGTCTGATAGGGACCCCCACTTCACAGCGGAGATCTGGCAATCCGTGTTCCGTTCACTAGGAACACGTTTGAATACGTCGACTTCTGATCATCCAGAAACAGATGGTCTGACGGAACGCTTCAACCGCGTCCTCGAAGAGATACTTCGATGGTGTGTCCACTCGTTTACGAGTTAAAGCGAGCTCTTTCTGATGGCGGAATTCACCATCAACAACTCGGTGCACGCGTCGACAACGCTTACACCGTTCTTCGTGAATGGCCTACGCCATCCACGTTTACCCGTTTTCTTAGAGTGTGACTGTAGTTTAAGCGGGGCGTGGACTCGCTCGAACAAAAACCGACCTGGTTCTTGCTCATCACCCGTCGACAATGGTGTCGACGTGATAGATGCCGATGTCGATGCGATCGACATCGACATCGATGGTGATGATGACGACGGTGCTGGTACTTTCAGCATCGCCAATGACTGCCAAAGTGAAGACGATGACACCCTCATTGGTGAAGACAACGTTCTTTCAGCAGTGCACACGAAGCGCACTGCTGTTGACAAGGATAAATCAGCAGAGGAATTTCTGCTGACTCGCGAAGCGGTTGTCCGCTTAGTTCGAGACTCTGTTGCAGATGCACTAGACAGACAGAAAAGAAACGCAGACAAACATGGAAGAGCATATGTGATTTCATTTGATGAAATAGACCTAGTTTTACTGTCCACAGTGAACTTGCCGAAACACGCAGTGACAAACGTGGGCAGCAATAAATTACTGCCCAGGTATCGGTCCATTTTGTGTGTTACGCCGAATAGGCAACGCATACACGATTGAACTGCCCCGTAAGATGCGTACGTATCCTACGTTTTACGCTAAATGTATCCGCCGGTACTATCAGTACGAGCCTGTATCGACAGGTGAAGAACGCCTCCGCGGTCGAATGCAGAGAAAACCTTCGAGTGGTCCCGTTTCAACGAGCCAGTCTGGTCGACTAGCAAAGCGACCTGCTCACCGAGATGAGCGATGTCCTGACGAGCTGCAGTCAGCTCGTCACAAAGAGAACGAATTGAACTTACGTTCTCAAGTTGTGCAAAAACAAACGCGGAACGATCGCTTAAACGATCGTGCGCTAAGGAGTCGCAATTATCATTTACAGTGTCATGAAGCTAACGTCGAGTCGATCATGATCCAAGTCATCTTGCAGCTTTTCCGTTACACGGTTCAGATCCTGAACATTAAGCTTATCCGACCCTCGATCCGGATCAGGTGTTACCGCCGCCACCACATCCTTTGGTGGATTCTGGCGGCTGTTAACGCTTCCTGTGGAGCGTATCTTGAACCACCGCAACTTGAAGGGCGTCAGACGAGTTTCATCGTCCTTTAGCGTGGCCATCCACCGGTCTAGGATAATAGGGCGCGAGTCGCCCAGCTGGTTGTTGATTTTCTGGGTCTCGTCGAGCATTGTGACGAGACCCATCTGCTGCGTTCAAAGAAGGGAAGACGAAAAAAGACCTCCCCGAACGCAAGTACGGGGATTGCAAAGGGTCAATCCCTTCGGCCATCTCAGTAGAGATGTGCACCGTCCAGTAGGGATAACTAGGGAGGTAGGCCTCCCTAGGGGCACGGTTCGAATTGTCCAGGAAACCTGGACACGAATTACCCCACGAGAGACAGGGCAATCGTGCTCCTCTTGACAGTCGGTGCAACTTGTATCGTACACCGACTGGGTAAGCTTCTCATAACTGATGCGAGCCGAATCAAGTTTACCGAGCCAGGCCTCACGGCCAATGCACTCGATGTAATGGATGAAGGCATTCCATCCTTGCACCAAGGCCCTTCCGTCTCGACCACGGTTGCCATTGTACCACCGATGTTTAAAAAACGCATCGATGAAGATCTCTTCCTCAGCACGGATTGTTTTCGTGCTGGAATTAGGAGGGCATATCCTCCTCCAGTTTTTTTCGAGCAACTAAATTCGATCCCGTTCGGTGGTCATACCGGCCAAATGATCGAACTCTTTGGATGATGGCATCTAAGGAGACTCCAGTTGAGGAGCATGGCGCACGGTCTTGCGGTCCCTGGTCCCTTGAGCGGCGTCAGCATGACACTGACACCAGTGGCGGATCGATACCTCAAATTTCTTCTCTCGTGGTGATGCACAGGTGCATCACCACCATTACCACGCTTCCTATTGCAATATGGACTTACGCGAGACTAGAATTCATCAGAAGAATCGCTTGGTCCGAAGATCTCGGACTTGATGCCCCCACGTTGACCAGAGCCAGTCAACCTGGCTCTTGCCGTATCCACTCCGGTTGATCCGAAGGCTAGAGGCGCCGCCTTCGGCTCAGATGCATTCTCTGGCTCGCCCTAACAGATACGCTCTATCTCAGACTCATCCTCTTTGCTAGTCACAGCACCCGCTGCAGACGAATCGGGTATATCTGTCGCACGTGTTCACTCACCACGTGGACTATTCACAACAGATACTACTTATTTCTCGCTTGCAAAAGCAGGCGAAGGATCACCTGCTGCTGAAACAAGAGAAGTAACCTCTTCGGCTGCATGCATGCGTGTAACCGCCTTCCTTGCTGCTTTGGCAGCACACCAAACGGACTTTGAGACTATGCGATGAATTGGAAAATGAGTTGGAATTTAACCAGCAAGTGCTCCCCTTCCCAGAGTGATCTAACGATGATCACCCTGTCGCAATCAATTAAATTCAATTTACGAGTTATTGATGGCTAACGGGGGTGATGTAACGGAATAGCCCGTTCCATGACATTGACACCAAACGTTGTCAATAGGGAGATTATCTAGCGTGACAATTCCCTGCCAATATTACCCGAGATGGGTAATATTGAAGGAATGTTATCCCCTTTGTAGGATAGTATACATGCGCTGCTCAAAGATTGGTTGACAAAGACATTCCAATCAAGGTTACCACCGATCGCTGCCAGACGCGCGTAATGAGTGGTGAGCAGGTTGTCATCATACGACAATGTAGTTTAATATATTTAGATAAAGACTGTAGATATATTGATAGCTTCAGTATATTGAATACAGTTCATTTTTTACCTTTACTAAACTAGCTGTTTGAGTAGACTAGCTTCCTCTGCACGTACTAGTGTATGTGGAGTGTCGTTGCACCCCAAACAAAGGGTGCCCCGTTAAATATAGTGCATCCATACGAGGCCAGTGTGTGTAGTGTATATTAATTGGTGTTGCTTTGTGAAATTTGTAAGTACGAGCATGTCACGTTAAGACCGCTATATTTAGATGTGTCCTAGTAGTCGGAATTGCAAATGACCGCTCGCAAGTTCGTAGTAGACGCCCACCGATTTCAAATGTTCGCCAGTACATTGTAATCCCCCAGCATTTCGCGTCCGACAGTCACCTTGACCAGATGACCTGCTCTGAGTTGATCGCATCTATCGCAATGTATAGTCGCAGCTCGACCGCCGAAGTGCCTCACAGGACTATCCATTAAGTCGAAACGCAATAGAAAGGCATAATTTAACGGGGCACCCTGAAGCTTGTACTGGTGACAGTACAAGCTACTTATTCCGATGACAGAATCAGGCAGTGCCTCAGAACTTCACGTACACTCGTACGTGCAGAGGAAGACGGTAAGAAGAAGCGAGTACTTGGTTTAAGTAAAAAGTAGAACTGTATTTATAATAGTTAATGTCTGTTAATAAACCACTATTTATCCTCATCTAACTATGTCTAAATACAAATGTGTATATCAACTATCTGCTCACCACTCATTGCGTGCGTCTGTCGTGGCGCGTCTTCGTTGGTTGATATAATGGCCTATATCAACCAATTAGGAACTACTCGTAAGTGCTACAGAATATTTGTCCTTATGACAATATTCTGAGAATATAACTCTTATAGTTATATTCTATTAACAATTTCTTATAAATTGTTATGTAACGATTCACCCCGTTACATCACCCCCCCTTAACCATCAGTCACTTTAGTGACTGATTGACTACATGGATACTCGTCCCAAATCAGTTGGGACAGGGTTTGCACTTGTTGGTCCGAGTCCACTTTCCAACATTTCATCGCATGGTTAACAAGCCCATGCGGTGCGCGAGCAAGGCCGCCGAGAGCGCGTCCGCACATCTCTGTGCGGACGCCGAAAGCAGAAACCACAGCAACTGATGTCTCATCGGTTGCTGAAGCGACTCATCCTTTGTCACTTGGTGATGCAGGCGCTGGTCATGAAGACACTCATGTCTTCACAGAGTATGAGCTCGGAGTCTCATACGCTCCTGATACGGAAGACGGATCCGTATCGACGGCGATTGAATCCAAGCCGCCTGCCAAGCGTGGCATGGATGATGCTATGCGTCGCAGCATCTTTGGTTCATCTGATGAATCAGATGAACCATCGCCGAAGCGAAGGCGCTCGAGGTCGCGAGACTCGGGCGCTAACAGTGGTGTCGGTTCTCCTATGGACACCACTTCGCAACGAGGTGCCAGTCCTTCTGTCGGCACGTCGCAGTAAGAGCGGGACCGCAGTGTGTTGCGTCTCGCTCCCGAGAAGAAGGCATGGATGCCTCCAGAATCAGTCATGGATCACTTGTCGGCGACGACGAGTGATCGTTATCGAACACGGTTGTTCGATTCGTCAAGGATCCATCACCTTGACCCCAGCGCGAAAAACTATCGCGCTGAGAACGATTTCTTCATCGATGCTTTCTTTAGACATCGATGGTACAGTGGGAATCACAAACGTGATGGTCCCTCACTACTTCAAGCGTGGAACGCCTACATCCATAACATTGAGGATGTAGGTTGTGACGTATGGAACGACAAACTTATCAAAGCTCGTGATAAGTTTGAAAAGCGAACCCCAACAGGTGCACGCTACAAGCTGCATCGTCTGTCAAGGGAGAAAGGATTACCCTGCTTCTCTTAGGGAGAATCGTGCCCATGTTGTGTGAACAACTCTGCACGAGCACCTAAGGAGGCTTACCTCCTTACCAGCCCGTGGTGGCGCGTACGTATCTCTACAGAGATGTACGAAGGAATTGACAACCTGAAATCCCTTTACGACCGTGCCGGGAAGACTTTCTCCTGCGGTCCTTCTGCGGCACAGGATGTGCCGCGTCGTACTGCTCAACCAGACCCAGTACGTCAACCATCAGTTGGGAGCGGGGCTCCCAAGTATCCCAGGACGGGGGATAGCCGCGCCACCGGATGAGATAACTCGTCCGACGTCCGTTCACGTCGCGGTGGTTCAACAGCTGCTCAACTAGATAGCGCTGGCCACCGCGAGAGTCCTCTAAAGGGGGTGGAGGAGGAGGGAAGACGCTCTCCACACAATCATGGGGATCCATGTGTCTCCGAGAGCTTCTTTGATCGCATAACGCAAGGGTTACGCGGCGATCTCGAACATGAGCGGGACAGGCGTCTCCAACTGGCGGACGCTGTCTCGAGGCATCGAGATGAGTTTGCCTTTGCTCAGCATGAGAACGAGAGATCTCTGACATCTCTTCGTGACGAGCTAAGGGTAGCTCGTGGGATTGTTGATCGGTCTCGGGATGAGATAGCTGCTCTTCAGACCCTTGTCGATGTCCATCATCGGGAGCACAAGGCTCTCTGCGAGATGCTTGAGCGCAAGGGCGTTCTTCATCGGAAGAAGCAGCGTACTGATGGTACGGCTTAAGCCGACCAACGTAAAACGTGGGATGCGTTCGCATCTTACGTGGCAACTCGATCGTGTATGCATTGCCTAGGCGGTGCAATACACGAAATGGGCCGATGTACTTGGGTAGATGTTTACTGCTACCCAAGTTAGTCACTACGTGCTTTGGTAGATTAACCGTAGACAGCAGGACTAAGTCACCTTTATTAAATAAAAGAGTGTTTGCCCTTCCATTCTTTTCAGCGTTTTGATTTTGCTTATCCACCGCTTCGGCGATGGAGTCTTGCACAAAACGGACTACCGTTTCACGAGCCAGTATGAACTCATCTGATGACTCGTTAGCTTCAGTGCGCTGTGAGTGCACTGCAGCAACATCAACCTTTTCTTCAGTGACGGCTTCCGCACTCTCACTGGCATCATCTTCTTCGATATCGATGTTATCGATATCGGCATCAAACGCAGTGACCCCTTCGTCAGAGCGTGATGAGCGTGAACCAAATCGGTTTTTGCTCGCGCGAGTCCCTCCCCCCCTTAAACCAGAGTTACACTCTAGTAAGGTGGGTACACGCGGATGGCGCAAGCCATTCACGTAAAACGGTGTATGGGTCGTGGACGCATGCACCGAGTTGTTGATGGCAAACTCTACCATTGGCAAAAACTCACTCCAACTCTTAAAGGAGTGAACGCATCCTCGAAGTATCTCTTCGAGGACACGATTGGCACGTTCCGTCTGACCATCTGACTCTGGATGATCAGATGTTGACATCTTCAAGCGCGTTCCGAGTGATTTGAACACGGAA